AAGAAGTTCCAATTTAACTTCGATTTCAGCAACAATCTTGCTGATAAATAAGTTAATTTTGAATATATGTAACATGACCTGCTCATTAGTTAGCTTGCGCCATCCTTCCTCCCTCTCAGTCGCTGACTCATTCAATTTCTCCATTTCCTGGTTCTTTACCTCAGCCGTGGAAAATAAGTTACGATAATTGGACTACGACTCGCTTGGAAACAATTTATAAGAGAAATCACCCATGTTAAATTTGCCGCAGACGTATCTGTGTTTTGATGAAATTATTGTCCGTTTAAGTATGATGCAAACGCAATTCAAAAGGCGGACTCAGAGCACGCGTTCATTGCACGCGCAGAGGCTTGGTTCCCAGACGAGAGGGAAACAATAGCCTCCATTTGGCGCAAACCCCTTCAGGTGGCTAGTAAGTCGGATGATAGTGTCTACGGTTAAGAGAGTGCACGTGTCCGAAAAATGAACTGATATTTGGCGGCGAGGCCAAGCTTCGAGAGCAAACGTGAAATTTTGAGGACAATCTCTTTAGTCAAGGACAGTAACAGCTAACCAGCACGCCAGAACTAGTTCTATATATTTAATTTTGAAATCACCTGTGGTTCTTGCAATCTGATTGCCTCCCATCAAGTGCGATTTATCACTTAATCGCACCAATTTTTTTGCTCCAATCGCATCCTTTTCCCATGCAGCTAATGAGAAACAAACAAAGATCTACAAAGTAGATTTCAAGGCTTGTTTTGAATAACCAATCAAATTAGAGGAAAAAGAAGGATAACCGTCTACAACTTCTTACAAATGAGCTCAGTTCTAGATCGATAAAATATTTGTAGAGACTCAAAAATTCTTTATTTCAGCGACTGACCCTAACCAAACCGTCACCCAACAAACCCGTTTTCCGTGAATTTGTAATGTACACAAATTTTGATGCACACAATGTATACAATATTGATCGAATCAATAGTAATCTACAAATCTTAATTACAAAGGAGATTCAGATATGGAGTAAACATCTCTAACTTTGATAGTCAGGAAGACATGTCCTTACAGCACTTGGTTTTATTTAAATGTCACTCAAGGTAAACAAAGAACTTGAGAAATGCAAAATGTGAAATTACGATCACTATCTTTTATAACAAATGATTCTTTGAGGCATGCCATTTTATTTCTTTTTCAATGCTGCTGACAGTCCTTTGCAGTTTCCTCTTTCCTGTTGGGGTAAACGATTATCGTAAGAATATATGAGGACTGTGGCCGGATGATGTGGTCAATGCTTATCTCAATTCGTCTGAACGCTGTTGCCAATTCTTAGGTACACACTGTGATTTTGGGAAGTCCCTGGACAATAATAGTTATAGCATTTCACGAGTCAACTTCGAGCCTGAGTAAAGTTCGGGTCAATGCAGGTCAAGTTCGAGTCACGATACAAGTTCGAGTCAATTTAAATCATGGCTAGAAATCAAAGACATCATGGCGGCTAAGCATGCGCA